TTCTTCAACCCGATGCAGCATTTGATTCTGCACCTCCCGTATGAGGCACGAATGGGGGGGCCCGTGTAGGCCCGTTGGTGCTATCCAATCGAGAGATGTCTAAAGGTTCTTCGGAAGAAATGCAGAAACAAATGCAAAATCGAGGCTTCCATGGCGGAGGCATTCGTTCTAGAGGAGGTTACTAACTTCACACAAGCATACTATGGTGACAAGCTTCCTAGCGTGCATAATCGACCCCCTCGTTACAATGCTGGTGAAAATGAATCAAAACTCAGCCTTTTCCAAGGGCAACTTGGAAGTGCGAGTGATGCGACCTCATTGTTGTTGAAAAACGAAGATTGGCTCACAATCATTATATATGTGTTCACCAATCTTACCGAAATGGAGCCGTACATGCAGTAAGTGGCTTCTTGCACGAACTTGTTAATTAAATATGCCGTCAACATTCTGCATCCAACCTCCTTGTTTCTCGTTGTTACAGGGAGTTTATTAATGAGAACTGGCATCTATCAAGGGAACCTACCCCGCAAGAACGTGACACCATTCTTCATCAGGGTGCGGGAAATGGAATCTCTGATTTTATTTCTTGGTTCAAACAAAAGGTACTATGCAATTTAGCTCGTTCGCCGATTGACATTCCTAGTTGCTTGTACATTCCAATTTAACGATCTATCCTCCTTGACCTTGCAGAGCCAAACCGATTTGACTATGAATCCAGAGTTGAGACAGGTTGCCAATGGCTTTGAACATAGGGTCAAGTCATTTTCTGGTTATGATGTGAATGGATACCGATTTCACACAACAAGACACGAGAAGAGCCGGCCCAATCGAAGAACCACGAATTCCGGAGTTTTTACTGGCGGCCTTGATGGGGCCGAGTATTATGGAAGAATTGAAGAAATATACGAACTTAGGTTTCGTGGTCGCAAACCTCTTAACCTTGTCGTATTCAAATGCCATTGGTTTGATCCTCAAGAAACGAGACGAAGTCCTTCCCTTGGGCTAGTAGAAATTCGACAGGATTCCGTCTATGGCGGAAAGGATGTCTATATTGTGGCTCAACAGACCACACAAGTTTATTATCTCCCCTACTCGTGCCAAAGGGACCCTCGTCTTCAGGGTTGGGATATTATGCACAAGGTATCACCGCACGGTAAAGCACCTTCCCCAAATGCCGAAGACTACAACTTCGACCCAAACATATATGATGGAGAGTTCTATCAAGAAGAGGGCCTACAAGGGACTTTTGAGATTGACTTAACCGGAGATATGGAAATGGAAGTAGACAATGAAATGGATGTTGATGTGGACGAGGGGGATGAGGTGGAAAATGCGAAGGACTTGGCGTTACTTGAAGGATTACATATTGGCAATGGCAATGATGACATAGTTGCTCCTTTGGAAAGTGTTGAACATTTCGACATGGCTGATAGTGATGATGAGAGCTATGATCCAGCTAATCCCGATGGGGATGATTATTTCTAATACATGTAATATTATGTTATTTTTTAATTATGCTTTATTTATTTTGCATCTCTTTATAATAATGTCTTGTTTATGATCCATCTAATCCGATCTTATTGTTTATGTCTTGTAGGTGATTGTGCAAAGATGGCGGGCCGCAGAGCTTTGCGGGCGATCAGGTCGCTTTACGACACGGGGGGCAGTACACCAGGGCCCTCAGGTGAAGCTAGGGGGTCGGCACCACCTCAGGGGAGGAGGAGGAGGAGGGTGGCCAGGAGGAGGCCTAGGGCACCACCGCCTCAGCCTGCAGCAGCACCACCACCAGAGCCCAAGGAGGAGCGGGAGGAAGAGCAGGTGGACGAGCAGGCTTAGCAGGGAGAGGACGAGCTGGAGGCCGAGCAGGAGGCCGAGCAGGAGGAGCGGGAGGACGAGCAGGAGGCCGAGGCAGGAGGTTCCAGTTCCACCGGAACCTCGGGTGTCTACCAACGAGGTCCGGCGAGCCTACCTGAGCGGCCGATACCTGAGGCTCTACGCCCGATCATTCGACCCATTGGGCAAAAGTACGTAACTTTTACTTTTTTCGCTCCTACATATGATAGAATCACAATGAAAACTAACAGTTTTTTCTTAATCACTTACGCAGGTCTTGGAAGGTCGTGGTCCCAGGTGCTCACAAAAGGTTGCCCAATGGCATCCTGGGTCTTCTCTGCAGGGAACATTTCCCAGGCTTGGTTCGCCATGCCGAAGCTCAGGAGCCGGCCTACACGTACGAGCACTACGTCGCCCCACGATCGCGGAGGATTTGAGAAGGGCCGCACGCACGTCTGGCGTGGCGGAGCGGGTTATGTCTTGCGAGTTTTGGGTAAGTCTTCCTCCCACTACTTTGCTCAATACATTGCATTCGCTAGAGTTTCTTGAACCAAAGTGTATTGATACATCTTTTCTATATGCGGGACTTCTTCAAATGCGCCGAGGGCTACGAGGCGAGGGCGGCCAAGGCGTCGGCCAAATCTTTTAGAGGTCGCATCTCGGACATGCATTATGAGGCGCGGCTCCGTGCCATCATCGATTCATCGTGCCGCCTCTCGAGCATCGGAAGGTAAAGAAAGAAGATGCAAGATTAATGCATCGACCAAAGAGCGATACACAAGGTAAATATACAACATCAATATTGATTTCTTCCGAGATTGGGTAGGCTTGAATTGTTCTTATATCTGCCAATGTACTTGATGTCGTCTGGTGCCTCTGGCCGGTGCGCCAAATAAAACGTGGGCTGGCGGATGATGGTCGACGGTGGGTGAGTGGCAATTGGGCGGATAACCACACCGTCCTCTTCAGGAGCGATGTTTGCTGATGCGGTGTATCACACCACCAGGGCAACCTTAACATCCACGAATTCAGGGCTAGATGGGTACGTGACTTGGTGTAGCTTCATTTATTCTTTCGACGTTTATTCCTGCATGATTTATAATCATCTTGTTGTTTTTCTCACGGTCGGTTTACATCAAAACCAGCCATGCGGAGAGCTCAAGTCATGGGTTACGGCCCCACAAGGGCAAGGCGACAGACAACATCAACTAGAACCCGGACGACCCAGTAGAGTCATTCACCACTAACGAGAGCATCCCCGGCGCATCGGTCGATACACCGAGGCGGCAAGGGGAGTCCATGGGGCGATGGGATCCGCACACCGCGGACATTGACGGCAACAACATCGTCATGAGGGTGGGAGGAGGCAAGAAGCATGGGCGGTACCTCGCCGGCAACAAATAAGCTTTCGACCCGCACACCACTCCCACTCTCTCACGTGTCCGGACAAGCAAAGACGAGCGGTGGCGTGCCCATACGCCTAAGGCGGGACACTTCAACGCATCGTGTGGCAAAGACTACTGAGTTATTTCTATTTTATTAAATCGTTCATTGGTTTTACATTCCTCGAAATTGCTTGTAACAATGCGGTGAAAAATTATAGGCCCGGTGCATGCGCTCGAGGAGCATAAGGCTAGGGTGGAGGAAGAACGACGAGGGAGGCGGGAGGCCGAAAGCGGCAGAGGTGGGAGGCCGGCGGCGAGGCGAGGTTTGACGCCTTGGCTCAAGATGCGGCAAGTCTTGGCGTCACGATGGGTCGCCCCGGTGCCACTAGAGCTGTTCGCTCCTCCACCTCCTTACCCATACCCACCTTACTCATACGTGAGTTCAACTTCTCTAACAAAAGCTCTTTATCTTGTGCATGTCGGCCATCGTGCCGCTGATATGTGATGGGAGGCCTTCGTGGCGTTGATATATATGTGTGTCGGCCATCGTGCGTGCTGATATGTGTGGGCGGCCATCGTGTCGTTGGTTTTCTTGCGAGTTTTAGAAACCCCACCGTGCGGGAGGAGGTGCTTGCCAAAATTTTGATGTGTCTAGGCTTAGATTACAATTTTATACCTAGTTACGCAAATTTTGACTTGTCTACGCTTAGATTACAATTATATGCCTTAGTATTACTATAATTACTAATTTTCTTCTCCTTTATGCGTAATCAATCGGCGAGTTCGAATGATGTGCTGAGCGACCGTCGCCGGGAGGGTCGTGGCACCAACCAGTATCCACAACTTCCGCCGCATCGCAGACCCTGTCGGGAGGGTCGGGTATCACCCAGATCCACACCGTCCCGCCAGCAGCAGCGTGCCGCCGTCGGGAGGGTGGGAGCCTTGGGAGTGAGCCTGTTGTTCTTCATCATGTATTAGCACTTTGTGACATGAACTTGTGTGAGATGAACTTAGCACTTTGAGATGGACATGTGTTGTTGGATTTGAGATGTTTAGATGGATTATAATGTGAGACATGTGATGTGGATGACATATTTGTGATATATGTGATGTGGATGATGTGTTATATTTGTGAAATGTGTCGTTGAAGCTGGAAATATAAACAAAAATAAAAAAAAATGCTCTCTGGACTCTTTGCCGAGAGTAGGGCTCTCGGCAAATCTGCCTCTTTCTTGAGAGCCTAGCTCTCAAAGAATCTGCTTCTTTTGCCGAGAGCTTGGTGGTCGGCTCTCGGCAAACCTATTTTTTTTGAAAACCACCTCGCCGCAAAATCTTTTTTTACAATTCTTTGCGACGGTCGCTCTCGGCAAAGAAGTTCTTTGCCGACGGCCGCTCTCGGCAAAGAAGTTGTCACACCGTTACCGGTCGTTTGGCCGTTACTAGGGCGCGCCAGTTTGCCGAGAGCTAGAGTTTGCCGAGAGCCTTGCCATTACTCTCGGTAAATGTTTTGCCGAGAGGGACTCTCGGTAAAGAATCCTTTGCCGGTAGATATTTTGCTGACGGCTCTTTGCCGAGAGCTGCTCTCGGCAAATTGTTTGCCGAGCGTCAGCTCGTCTTTGCCGAGAGCTTCGGGCTCTCGGCAAAGGCCGGGAATCCGGTAGTGAACTTCTCCACCTTCCTCCGGCAGCTCAACACCTACGTCCGTAATCACATCTCAATTCGTAATTAACAAACATTGTAATGTCAGTGTGACGTGCTTGCTGTTCGTGCGCATGCAATGCAATGCTGTACGTGCAGCGATTCCGCAAGGTGAGCCCTGACAGGTGGGAGTTCGCGCACGCCGACTTCCTCGCGGGGCAGCGGCACCTCCTCGTGAACATCCGGCGGCGCCGCGGGATCCACAGCGTCTCCGTCTTCGGAGGGGGCCGACGGCGGCGACCGTGATAATAGCGAGCTCGAGAGGCTGCGGCGGGACCGCGAGGCGCTATCGCGGGAGCTGACGCGGCTGCGGCGCGAGCAGGAGGAGGCCCGCGCGCAGCTGCTGCCTGCTGGACATGCAGCGGCGCGTGCGGGGCACGGAGCGGCGGCAGGGGCAGTGCACGGCACGCCATCGAGAACCCGGCCTTCCTGGACGGCCTGCTGGCGCGCCGTGGCGGCACGCACGTAGAGGCCGCCGGCAGGAAGCGGTGGCTGCTCGACGCCGCCGCGGCCGCGCCGGACGCAACGGACGTCCTCGCCTTCGAGGAGTTGGCGCTGGCAGCGGGCGCCGAGGTCGAGGCGGCTCCCGTCCCGGCACTGGCAGCGGCAGCGCAGATTTCCGACACCGCTAACGCCACGGACATGATATGCTACGAGCTGCTCGGGATGGAGCAGGTGGAGATCGACGCCGAGGCAGAAGCGGCTGCCACTGAGGCGGTGGAGCCGTGGGCGGAGATGGACGAGAAAGAGGTTGAGGAGCTCGTCGCGGCCGCGGCTGCCACTGAGGCGGCGCCGGAGCCGTGGGCGGAGATGGACGAGAAAGAGGTTGAGGAGCTTGTGCAGCAGATAGACTGCATTGGCTCGCCGAGCCCCTAATCAGTGATCACCACGAGGTGGAGAGCGTGCAGGTGCAGCAGCAATGGTGCTCCCTGCGGCACTCAGCAACTAGCTTTGACTAGCCATGTGGTGCGCTGCCGGATACAAGCATCTAGGGACGCTTGACTCGCGACGCCGTTCCGCTTGAGACCTGGTCGCAAAGTTGGTTTTCATGTAATTACAAGCGCATGCGAGTGATTGAGGGCTGAGTGATTGAGGGTTGAGTTCGGTGGGTTTTGGTAATCTTCGGTTTACCGTAATCCCAATTTTGTAACAAAACTTTCTCTTCTGCTTAATGAAAAACGTGTCGTGGCATGGTTCCAAAAAAAACTATGAGCCATGCACATTGCCTGTGGCAACGGCATTGGCTGATTGGCATATGATGGCTGCGTTACAATGGTGGCACTGGTACTGTTGTACGGTACTTGAGTCCGCCTCTGGATTGGACGCTAATGGTCATTTGGTGTGTGTTACTATCGTTAGCCTCGCTATTTAATTGTGGTTATTTTGGATTATTATTAAATCTGTATATAGACGGTCTGCTAATTCGGATTCTACGTCTGTTCTGTAGGATCCGATGATGGCTCGCAATGTCAACGGGGAATTCCCCGTCGGGGGTTACTGTCCCATCCCCGTCCCCGCGGGGGCAAATTTCCCCCATCCCCGTTCCCGTGAAGGCTCACGGGGAGCACTTCTTCCCATCCCGTCCCCTCGCCGATTTAATCCCAGGGATCCTCATCCCCGCATCAACCCTCCCCTCCCTTCTCCGCCTGCAGCGAGTTCCTCCCGGCCTCCCACGCGGTCTCTCCTCCCCCACTCTCTCTCCCTCCCTCGGTGGCCTCCTCTCCCTCCAACCACGCCATGCGACCCTCCTCGCTCCCACCATGGCGGCGCCCTCCTCCCTATCCCTCCAACCACAGCCAGGCTCGACCACCAGCCAGCGAAGCTCTCATCTCGGCTGGCCCGCGCGCGGGGCGCGGATCCGCCCCCACCTCCTCCCCGACGGCGGATCTGGCCCCGACCCCGTCTCCGGCAGCGAATCCGGCCCCCAGCCCCCCACCTCGTCCTCGGCGCCGGATCCAGCCCCCACCTCATCCCCGGCGGCGGATCCGCCCCCCTGCTCGTCCCCGGAGGCGGATCCGGCATCCTCCTCCCCGGCGTAGGTGGATCTGGCATCCTCCTCCCCGGAGCCGAGGCTGCCGCCGTCGCCCGTGCTCTCCCTCTGCTCCGCCCTCTCCTCTCCTCCTCTGCTCCACCTCCACAGAGCGCCGCCGAGCTCCCTCTCTCTCTCTCTCTCTGCTTCCCCTTCTCCCTTTCTACTCCGCGCTCACCGCCGCCCACCGCTCTGCTTCCCTGTCGGATCCGGGAGGGAGGGAGAGCCTCCCTGACCCTGCGTCGTCGTCAATGGGCTCGGGAGAGAGTTGTGCGCCTGTGCCGTCGGAGGGAGAGGGGCAAAGGAGGGAGGGAGGGCCAGCAGAGACGAGGAGGCGGGGCGGGCGTGGAGCTGCGCGCCTGCGCGGCGTGAGGACGGGATGACCGGATGGGGAATTTGGGAGTGACTCCGAGTGAGGAATTAGGGTTTGGACGGCCGACGGCGCGTTATATACCTCCGCGACTTACTGGGCCTTTACATGGGCCAGCACCGCTGCCTGCTGCGTGCTTCGCGGCCTCGCGGGGCGGGTTGGCGGGGATCGGGGTCGGGGACCAGGCAACCATCCCCGACGGGGACAGCTTCCTACCAAATGTTTCCCCGTGGGGATGAATTTCCCCCATCCCCATCCCCTAATGGAAGAATTCCCCACGGGGAATCGGGGATTGGGTCCCCGTTGACATCTTTAATGATGGCGATGCGCCGCATACAAACCCGTGGTGATGGATTCAGCAGACTGCGGTTGATGTACTCTAAGAATGGACCTAACAGATGGGGGATGTACTCTTAAGAATTTGATGACCTCACAAATGGGTTATGGTTTTATGGATCCGTCGACGACTAGGTGTAAACGGTACAAATACAGATAGTACTGTAAACCTCATATTCGGATTAAGTCACGGATATACTGGATATCGACATCAAGTATATCCAAATTTGAGTATTGGAATACTCCCTCCGTCCTGTAATATAGCGTATTCTAGCATTCAAAATTTGTTCTCAAATATATGGCATTTTAGAGGATAGAAACTAATTTTGCATTAAATACTTTTCATTTATCTACTAATCACCACTAATCGTGTTGATGATAGCGTCTTATTAGAAAATAAAGTGAGGGCACATGCGTTTTTTGTGTTCTCTCTTAATTTGTCCTAAAAATTCTAGAATACACTGTATTATAGGACAGAGAGGATACACAGTACAGATAGTAAATCTCCGTATTTGGATATGGTATATTATTTGAGTATTTGGATACACAGTACGGATAGTAAACCTCCGAGTTTTGATATTGGATATGGTATATTTGATTCGGATAGTGAAGCTCTTCGTTCGGTCGGTCGAAAATATCCGTAAAATTTACACCTACTCGGCTACTCCTGGTAAAAAACAGTGTTAGGGCACTCTGGTGAAACATAAGGACCAGTGTTGGGGCATTTGGACATCGCTATCGCCCATATAATTATCAAAATGGAGAAACATCGTACCTTGATCAAGACAATATTGCTGTTGATAGTGCATAACCGATTTCAAACTGAAACGGAATTGCTTTCATGCAGACTCGTGGCCCATGTCGCAGCATGGCAGCACAGGTGAGCAAAAAATTCGGTTCACTGCTGAGATGGGCAATGCAGATATTGGAGCCAAGGGAACAAACAGATAGATGTATCACGCTATATCAGCTGAGCGGACAAAAACGTCATTTTTCAGAAGTAACAACACTCCCAACAGTTGCCACGCACTATTTTTACACAAGTACAAAGGAGAACAAAGACACTACTTGTCACTTGTCAGTATCAGTTCATCACTGAGAAGGTTCATTTTTTACGTGGTTATCAATCATCATCTTCCTCATGGTCGAATTCCTCTTCATCGCAGGTCTTCCATAGGCTCATCATCCTCGTCGTTAACTAAAAAACCTCCCAGAGTTTCATCTTGCTCATCCTCTTCATCCTCGGCCCCCTTCATCTTCATCGATGCTTTTGCCACTTCCGACCTTTGAGTTTTCCTTTCTAGGCTTTTCTGGGCCATTAGATCTTGTTGCATACTTTGGTCTCTTCACACTAGGAACTCTTGCCAGGGACTCCTTTTCATCCTCACTCTCACGGTCTCACCAGTCCAGTCTTCATCTTCGCCTTCTCCATCTTTCTTCTTGTTCCAACTCTGACCTTTCGATCTACCTCTCTCCTGCTGCTGCTAACTTCATCGTCGGAGCTCCTCTTTGTTTCCTCTAGAAACCAATTCCAATCCTTTGGAGCACGAATCCTTCCCTTTGGGTAACTGTCAAATTCATGGCCCATCGACAAGAACCCAAATTATGCAGACAAAACCATAATTGCCGCTCGATTAAACAGAAATGTATTTCAGACAAGAAGCCAGAAACATTTGGGTACCTATTTTAACATTAATGCCTTTTTCTAGCAACAACCAACAGGGTAATATAACGCACTGGAAAATTACTGATGCTCAAATAAGATATTAATGAAGAGCATTGGCTGGTAGTGAGTGGTCCATTGCGGGAGTTCTACAATTAACCATATGAAAAATATTGTGTTTTGTTCAACGATGCCCCTGCAGATCATATGACTTTAAGCAGTTGCAAATTTTAGAGGAAATGAATCCTTCACCAGTAACACATGCCTATCGTAATGTAGAGTTTCCTCAGGTGCCTATCGTAATATAGAGTTTCCTCAGGTTTTCAACAAATAGAGTAAAGAAAATCCTGAACCACACCAAACTGTTACTGTTGGCTGTTGCACCCCACATGAGCCTAAGTTTAGAAATCGACACGGCAGCCAACAAGTATTCTGAATCTATCATTAGCTAACAGAAGCAGAGCACAGAGGGCAAAACTGAAACCCAATTCATTGGAAGCCACGCACTCCAATCTGACCTACAATGATTGCAGTATCAATTCATACTTGAAGTAAAATGTTGCTAAAAAGCTACGGAGTATGCAATAATAGAAGTCAAATTTGTAGTGGAATGTGGAAAGTTTCACCCTTCCCGGAAATGAAGGAAGGAAGAACAGAAGTTCACCTCGAACTGGATCTATGTCTGCTAAATCAATGTCAGAGTCCAAGGCTCCCCCTTCTTCCTCTTCGGTGACCTCCATAGCCTCCTCCGCAGCTCGCCTCTCCCTCTCCCTCTCCTTCCGCTCCCGCGTCCGCCTCTCCCGCCTCGCCACGGCGTCCAGCACGGCGGGTTCCACATCCACATCCGCGTCCGCGTCCCCGTTCCCCTCCCTCGCCCGCACCGCCCAGAACGCAGGCGCCTTGAGCGACAGCGACAGCGCGTCCCCGGCGCGGAGCTCTCCCTTCTCCCCGCGGCGGAACACCCTTCTGGTTCCGCCTCCGCCGTCCCGGGAGCGGACGACGACGGAGTTCCTGCCCACGACCTCGAATGCGACCCCGCCGCCGACACCGAGAAGGCGGAGGGACACGTGGCGGCGCGAGACGGGTACGGTCCGGGGAGGGCCCGCCGCCGCCACCCAGGTCCCCGCGGCCCAGGTCGGCCGTTGGGGAGTCAACGGAGAGGGACACCGCCCTGGTTCCGCCGCCGCCCGCGGCTTCGAGCTCCAGGTCCATGGCGCGGAGAGCCGGGGAGGCCAGAGGAGCAAGGGGTGTGGGCTCGTGTGCAACGTACGAAGAGGAGGAGGAAAGGGAAAAGGCCTTGGGGTTTTTGCTAAATGGGCTGGGCGTCCGTTTCTAGTGGGGGTTTACGATCTACTAGTCACTGGCCCACGGACACTGATGATTCGGTCTGAAACCGGAAGCTCGGCCGAGCTGAAAAGGCGGCTAGCACGAGAAGGGCGAGCTTTTCAGTCGGCTCGGACGATTTTCAGTCGGCTTTGCAATCGCTGCAATTTGTCGTCCTCGATAAGACTCTCAAGATGCATCTCGCTCATAGTACGATATTCCAAATTATTATATGTTATGGTTTTTCTCCTTTATATTAGTCGGCCCGGTTCGTTTGGCTGAAATTTACTTTATGTTGATGTTTATGCTGATTTGTTATGAGAGAAAAATACCGTTCGTTCACTGAAAAGTATGATTGAAATTGTTCTGCAGAACATGGCCAATCAGTTTAGAGTTAGTGCTAATTTATACTATTGAATATCAACATGTTGTAGCAGAACGTGCACATAAAGGGTTGTAGGTGCCAAGAGTGACCAGGATCATCGATCGTGAGGAAGGAAAAGAAATCAGGGTGGCCTGGGGTTCCTTTGGCATAGCTTCCAGCCCCAGCTTCACTCTCATGTCGCAGCTTCTGCAGAGCTTCGCCAAACACTTAAAATGCATCTGAATTCTGGTAGTGAGCTAACAAAAATCACTTCTCCATTTACACTACGAGCTTGGAGCGCTAAAAAACCCGCTCTCCACCACTTCCCGCTGCTCCCCATTCATTTGCCATGGAAATCACTTCGGAATTGATTTTCACATGCTCCTCCACCAAAATCATTCTGCCAGATAATCAAAAAGTGAAGCTCAAAAATCAAGAACCGAAGCTCTACTAAATGACCCTGAAATTTCTAGTTATCGGTGAGAATGGCATCCTTGCATTGTGCATTGTGGAGCCACGGAGGCCTTCGTCGCTTTTACTGAGGGCCTGTTTGGCAGAGATTCACCACTGTAAAATGTGAATCTAAATCTGGGATTCATCGTGGATCAGCTCCACCGTGAATCTGAGATCCACCGTGTATGTACCAGGGAACTATTTGGCAAAACAACAGATCCAAATTCACGAAAATGAGGTTTTGGTGGGAATAACTTGTTTTGCCCTTAGGTTGTAACATGAGACATGTGGATCACGTCTTATGACTATATTCATTCAAAAAGGTATATTTTTAAAACTCAAATGCAATATGACACACCAAATAGATAATTAATTAACTCATGTCAACAATATTTCGATTGTCCATACATAAAAATAACTAAAGATTAACTAAATATTACGATTATTCATGACAACTTCTCAACATTAGATAGTCTTCCATTACATGCTAGTTGTTCCAAGCTAGAGCAAGAGCCGTGGCCAAGCCGTCAAGAAATACATCCATAGTGGCGGCATTGGCTTCCGAAGTAGAACCATCCGATGTAACTGCATATCGGTTATACCTTTCTGGTATTGTTGGGACAAAATGAGGATCATGATCGAAACGAGCAAAGTCCGGATCTTCACTACCATGTTCACGAATAAAATTCTAAAGGACCATACAAGCAACAAGAACCATTTTTTTGCTTCCACATCGGGTAGTTTGGCATCTTGTATAGAATTTGCCACTTCATTTTCAAAACTCCAAAAGACCTCTCAATAACATTTCGAATAGAAGAGTGAATTCGATTGAATTTTTCCTTAGGTGTTTTGGGTTCCATACCTCGATGCCACTCCGGCATATGATATCTTTCACCTTTGTAAGGAGCTAGATATCCGGGCCGATTAGGATATCCGGCATCAACAACATAGTATTTGCCTAAACATGATCAAAACAATATAAGTTAATATTTTGTATCATAAAAAAAAGAGACTAAACGATTAATCATTTTTATTACCTTGTGGAGGATGTGGGAAGAATTTTTCATCCACCGAGATTGCATTGTATAGAACACTAGTGTCATGCATAGATCCCGATTGACCGGTGGATACATATGTGAATCGCATGTCAAAATCACAAACTGCTAAGACATTTTGAGTGGCTATCCCTGTTTTCCCAATATACCTCACTTGTTCATCGGATGCAAGAGAAACTCGAATATGTGTTCCATCTAGAGCACCAATACGATCCTTAAAATGTGGGAACGCTCGTCTATAATCTCTTATCCTCCTATGAACTGTAGGAAAATTGGGGTCCTTAGTTCTAATGAAATCCTTTGCCATGGCCATAAGAGAGTTAAGGACCTCATCAAATTTCCTAGACCATGTGTCACCTGAATGCTTGAACCGATTTTGAACTTTTCGACTAGACTCATTTTCGGCACATGTAAATAAAAACATGGCAAGCATCTCATAGGTACTCATATGATAGGATGGTTTCCGCCCATACCTCTCCACTAATAAACCATGGATGTCCTCGAATATTTCATTGCTCATACGAAGTTGTGTATGGCATTCCCCCGGAGTGTTCAGTGTCTCTAGCAACCAACCCATACCACTAGTGGTTGAAGTCCTTGGTGGGTTTTTATCTAGGTACATGTCACAATATATTTGGGCAAGCATAGCACCACTTAAGACAATTTTGAAAAAATCATCACTCTCATCACTGGAATCATCACTAGACATCTACAAGAAATGATAACATGTCCACATGAGCATAAAAAAATGACAGCGTCTCTAAAATAGCAAAGAAAAGCGACAACATGTCCAAATGAGCATAAAAAATGACACAGGTGACGACATGTCCAAACAACTAGGCCTTCAATTTCTTCCATACATCACATTGTACTTCCTCCTAAGCCAATCGAGCCTTTCATCAATGGGGAGGGTCATGAACATTTCTCTTTGCTCTTTCTTCACAAACAACTCAGTTGCCACAAAATGTTCATCGGTCTTATATGCAGCCCCACATGCCACAACATGTTCCATAACTTCCTCAATGGTGGTCCCACCTTGCCTTTTAGACACAAAAGAAGATGCAGACTCAGAAATCTTTGAGATGTGCTCTTGGATAACAAGGGTTATGCTACTCTTAGGTTTCTTGGTGGGCTTCTCCAAAATAACCTTAGCCTTTTTCTTACCATTGTCTGTGACAGGAGTGACCTCCTGAACATCATCTCCATTTTCAAAAGAGTTGTTGTCACCATCAACAGTGTGGTGCTCAGTGGGGTGCTCAGCCTCTACACCATCAGTTGGAGTGTCATCATCAAGGGGTATGATGGGGTTGGAACTCATAGGATTCCAATGATCTTGCTCCTCATTAACAATGTTTCCAAACATCACCTTCAAGTCATCTTCATTTTGGATAGGCTTCTTCTTGAACTTGCCAACACCACTAATTTCCTAAAACATATGAGAGCGTCCAAAATAAGAAAAATTTCTAAGTTGCAAAAATAAAAATGTACATAGCAAAACAAATAAAACTGGCCTTTGTTATCTTCTTCCACCACTCGGGATCCATGTTGATAGTTCCTGTATTCCAATTGAACCCAACCCCCGTTTGCTTCCTCATTAATTTCCTCCAAGCACCATAATCCCTTCTCAACTTGTCCCATTTGTTCTTTAGTTGCATTTTACTCAACATTATTCCGGTGGATTGAAAAACCCTATCAGATACCTCGCTAAAGCCTACATTGTTCAAATGTGTGTTCGGCCGATTTCCTTTTCTAACTTGCTCGGCAAAAAACTTACAAACAATTGTGGTATAACCATCAGTCCAGTCCATAGCACCACCCTGACAATAATTTCCCACAAGTATTTGATCACCCAAATCAAGATTTCCCCAGCACTGTACAATTGTTGCACAAAATTGAAAGACAAATTTATACCTCATCTTCTTTTGCCCTCTTGTTGGTCGACGGAGCGCGCGCCCTCGGTTGCTACTGCGACGAACTACCGCCTGCTTGACCAGTGGCCACACCCCCAGCGCCCATGGCTGCCTGCTGGCCAGCCGGTAAGGGCTGCTGGCAGGTCGGTAGGGGCTGCTGGCCAGCCAGGAAGGCTTGTTGGGCAGCCAAGGCATGCTGGTGGGCGCCGTCCATGGCGGTCTGGAGGCCGCCCGCGCCTGCCTGAGCGCCGGCCATGGCGGGGTCGACGCCGGCTACGGCTCCCAGCCAGCTGACTGGGGCGGGTTGAAGGCCGGCCGAAGGGGGCATGTCCGCGACGCCGGGAGGAGGAGCTCCGGTGGTCGCGCCCTGTAGCTGACGAGAAAGCCCAACCCTAGGTGTGGTCTTTCCCATGGATGTGGACGAAGAAGGAGGTGCAGGAGGTCGAGCAGGACCGGATCTACCGGATCCGGCCATGGAGGGCTCGCCGGAGTGGAGGGATGGAGGGAGGGGATGGGCGGCGCGGCCTTCCTGGCCGCGACGGAAGAGGAGGTCGGCGCGAGGCGCGAGTCGAAGGGGCGTCGTAACCCGTGAGGTGGGGAAGAAAGGAAAGAATCGAACCGGTAAGGGTAAGGGGTGTGTAACTAGTGGCAAATGTGGGTAATTTTTATCCAACTTCACGAGGAGGTACGAAACACCCATTCGTGGAGCACCCCCTGAGGAGCTCCACCAATTTGGTAAATCTGGTCTCTAGATCCACCATTTTGGTGAATTTGAATTTGGTGGATCTAGGGTGTTTGAAAATTTTTTGGTGGAGTAAAGCTAAAAATAGTAAATTTAGAGCCGGTGAATCCCTGCTAAACAGGCCCTGAAGCTTAACATTGAAGCCATACCGCAAACCGCGAGACGATCAAATGATGATGACGATAGCCCTCACTGTCGATGTTTTGTATGACACGCGGGCCCACGAATGTCACATGTGCGCCAAATAAAAGGGTGCCTGCCGGGTAACGGGCCTGGACCTGGACGTGCAGGAATGGGGACTGTGCCCTGTGTGGCTGTGTGCACGTTCGTGCACCTCAACCTGCTTTTGCGTGCTATTCAATTCATTCATCGTTCATCAAGTGTATTATGGCTTGTTTCAAGTATGCATACCCCTATGCCCGCTGAGTAGTGAGTACCGCACCGGAGTGAACTTTGTTTTTGAATGCCTTCTAAAAAAACACCAGGTAAATGTACCTTTTCATATACTTAGGATAGGAGATAATTAATTTTGGCAGCAGTCCACCACTACACCGTTTGTAGGTTCCGTTCGCTGCAACTTTTCAGCTGAAGCAGCTGCAGTGTTTTTCAGGTCAAGGCAAAGTATTTTGCAGTGGGTGAACAGCTGCTAGCTACACCTGATGGAAAAGAGCTCAACCGAAGTACGTATTGAGGTAGCACAATTGCACAAGAAGAAAGAAAGGAGCTAGCTAGCCATCCTGCTGCATCCACCGTGATGGGTACAGTTAGCAGGATCATGGGCAGGGCAAATCCCAAGAATAAAAGAAGGGAACGAATGGCATTGCACTTGGGCCTTGTTTAGATCACCTCCAAATTCCAAGTTTTTTCACTCTTTCTCTATCACATCAATTTTTGGACACATGTATGGAGTATTAAATGTAAGTAAAAAAATAACTAATTATACAGTTTGATTGTAAATCACGAGATGAATTTTTTGAGCCTAGTTAGTCCATGATCGGACAAAGTTTGTCAAATACAAATGAAACGTGCTACAGTGTCCAGGTTGTAAAAATTTACAATCTAAACGAGGCCTTGGATGAATTCGGAAGGAGGGTACTCCTATGTCAAAAGGCAGAACAAAAGTGTTGTAAAGTGTAGCCGGTTTTGTTGGTTAAGAGAAAGAGCATAGCATAAACTTTTAGAGCCGGTAGATAAGATCGGCACACAACAGCAACGTACGAGATAGGGCCTCTCTATTCTTGTGTTCAGTCAGGGGAGGAAAACCATTGGACTGGACATGATGATGCTGGATGGCCTTGTTGGACTAACTAGACCAAAGTATCATATCAAGCACCACCGCCGTGGCCTGAACGTACCAGTCCAAAAGGATCACTATCATCAGTAATGGAAGCAACCATCATTTGGCATTTGGCACCAAGAAGATAAGAGAGTTTAGTGCGTTTTGTTGAAACTTGCAGCTTAAGTTCCCCGGCACCGGCAGGCGGCAGGGAATAAGAGTAGTATCAGTGGAGGGTTTAGTGAGCGTAACTATCCCGCGCCGGCGCCGGCCACAAGCAGCAAGCCAGCTAGCACCCACGCGGTGGCTGCATTGCACACCCAGTCGGGCTCAGGCCGGGCAAAAGGTGATGGTGACGTAGCAGGGTCAGGTGAGTGAGTGGGTGACAGTGGTGTGAGCGCGTGTGACGGCTTTTACGTAAGTACACGGGGTTGGTGAAAAGGATATATAGCTCTCGATACGGTCGGCCCCGGAGAAGAAGGAAAATATGCTCGGCTCACCAGCGCTCTTGCTTCTTGCTTAAGCTGCCTTCGCTTAGTGGCAGTATGTAAATATATACTATACCGGGTTTTTGTTGATTTACACCGTGTTCGGTTATCTAGGATTTCACCCAGGAACCATTCCAACTCACCGAGGATTGTATAAATTAGACAAGCAATCTAGTTAAGAATAGTTTCAGGCCACTAATCCTTGGGAACTGAAGGCCCAGTTCGGTTGTTGCGGAACGGACCATTCCGGGTCTAGAACTGTTCCTCCATAGTACAAATTCGTGTAGGAAAGAGTTGGGTTAGAAAACAATCCTAGATAACCGAACGGAGCCTTAGTCGGATATGATCCATCTCTGTTTTAATTTCTATTCCTGTAGTAGTACTCCCTCCCTCCGTGATAAATTATATTAGTTCACTAGATAATTGCACGTGCGTTGTAACAGGAGCAACAAAAATTGTATGGAATATTTCATAGCCAAGTTAAAATCAAGACCTCAATTTACACGCATGTTTCCAACGTTCCTTCGTGCTGGACTGGAGTACGGGACAATGGCTTGAATTGCGTACAGTACATATGATAGGCTGTTGGAATAGGTCAACTCACTGTGGATGTCTAGTTCATGACGTTGATTGGCTGAGTCCTGATAAATTGAACTTACTTATATACGTAGTTCTATTGACACATTTTCATAGCAATTATGATCCCTGTCTTTTCATCAATATTTATGTTGTCGGCCGGTTCATTTTTTTAATGTAATCTCTCATAATATTGTATTGTTTTATCACAAAATTAATATAAAATATGTCTTGATTGAGATCATGTGATGGAGTAGTCAAATATATATTTTGATAGTTCATCAAACAGACTGCCCGCCCGCGGTTCGAGCGCCGGCTCCCGCGCGGCGCCTCACCTTTCTTCTTAAGAGTATTCAGGAGACTCCTCCGTGTGTTCAGAAAAAAAATAGTTCATCAAACATGAAACCTGTGAATTTGAGGATGGCGAGGATAATGCCGATCTGTGTTCAAAAAAAAAATAGTTCATCAAACATGAAACCTGCGAATTTGAGGATGGCGAGGACAATGCCGATCTGTATTTGGTGATCTATTTGAGGATGGCGAGGACAATGCCGATCTGTATTTGGTGATCTGTTATTGCAGGATCCCGTTTTCATGGGATGAACCTGTATTCGGTATATGCCTAACAATTACACACCGTTTGGCAGGGCTTCTTTACCAGCTTCAGGAGCTGTTTGGAGCTGTTTTCTGCCAAACGGGGTAAAGTGAAATAGCTTCACTGGTGAAGCCCCTAAAAACATGCTCTCACAATGATTTGGGGTGGGATGGAGCCAAAAAAAGTGGCTTCTCCCGGCTCCTCCTCCAGTTCCCTAAAAACATGCTCTCACAGGGAAGCTATTTTGCCAAACGGTTTACCAAAACCGCTTCAGCTCCACCGGTGGAACTGTTCGTGGAGCTGAAGCCAAAAGAAATGGCTTCACTAGTGAAGTGAAGCCCTGCCAAACGGAGCCTTATTTGTCCTGTTGTTACTAAACCTACTAATTATCAATTATGCATGTTCACATGTTAAACATATGGTATGCAAGTGAATATGTTCATAGGTGTATTTTGTTGTGTGAATTTATACATGAATAATCCTAACATAATTCTCTGGCTTTCAATCCGTGCTTGTTTGTTTCCGTATGTCTGCATATCCTGATTCCTTTTTTTATCTCGGCTTTTCCGATCCTGATCCCGTTTTTGCCAAAAAAAAATATAGAAACGGAAATAGGAGATGGGTTTTCATGTCTGCTTTTGTTCATTTTCATCCCTAGAAAGGATTATGTATTGGAAACGAGCTGGGAAGGGGTGACGGCCGAGTGGATAGGTCGAGCGGGGCGGTGCAAATGATAAGGCTCCGATTTATTTGGTGTAGAGATTTAAGTTATTCTAAGCTAAATTTCTTTAACCCTGATGAAGTTTATAGAGAAATGTACCAACATCTAAAGCATAATTAAAATTTTCATAAAATATATTTTGATAGTGTATATATTCAAACTTGTTAATGTTAATATACTATTCTAAAATTTGTTAAAGTTAAAGTATAATTTGGCTTTATGATGAAAACAAAGTGAACTATAATTTAGAAAAAGGAGGGAGTACTACTTATTGGACGGATATGTGGAATATATAACGAGTTTTGTCGGTGTTTTAAAGACCGACGAGTAAATTTTTAGCTCCGCACTGCTCTAGGAAGACGATGGTAGCACTTGAGATACAAGAAAATTATACTGGTTTGAGACGGTGCCCTACGTCCAGTCTCAGAGGATAGCGAGTTCATGTTCCTCGGTTCAAGTGCTCTGAGGGCTTACAATGGAGGTTCATAAGCTTGGGTTCTACAGATAGAATGCTAGAAGTAGGGGAATGCGATCGGGATTCGATCCTCTAAGAAGAAGGCCCGGCTCCCATTATATAGTCGTGGGGGCCGGGATACATGCAGAAGTATGGGGTTCTCCTGACCCAAGTGGCCGTGAGCCCGAGGAAGGGAGAAACTAGTAAGCTTGGTCAGCAATCCATCATGTCTTGTTCTGGCTTCTATTCGCACGTCCAGGCATGGTCGTTGAGGTCTTGCTCCACACGCTAAGGCATGGCATACGGTGGTGGCATTGTGCCGGCCGTGGTGGCACTGTTGAAACGGTGGTGATTCGCCAACTGTTCTGTGCGTCGTGGGCTTGGGCATGGCCTTCGTCCTTCCT